TGCCCACCCATATCACTCAAATTACTCCACAAGGCGGACGTTAAAACAAAAACAACACACTAGGAGCTAGAGGAAGGTTGCTGTCTCTGTGACCTTGCTTGGGTTATTTCTTCTCACTGTATTTTCCCTCATCTTTGTGCATCAAAATTGCGGAATTTCTCCCACCTTTTACATTCTACCAAGTTATTACCTTGTAAGGCTAACCTCAATCTGCATCGTTCTGGCTTTGCAAAGTTAGTCGGTGACTGTTGCATACTGTAACGGTACAAACCAGAACAAGAAACGACCTCTCTCACATAGTACAGGATAGCGCAGCATGCCACGCCCCCCCTCCTTGAAAGACTAAGCTTACCTGCGAGGGCGAAGCTGCATGTCGGAGGGAGGGACCAAAGTCCGGGTGGGAGGGGCTGGTCGTGAAGCTTCCTTAGCTAGTCTTTGTCGTTCATAATGAGCGTAGATCAGCGGTGTGGATGCTTGCAAATCTGCTCGTGAAATCCATCGAGTGTCGTCAAGATGGCATGCTTTGAAGGTAATTTGTACTGCCGAGGCCTGTTGCCGTACTTGCGATCCGTGATGACGCGGTCGACTTCCTAATGACCATCCATAGACGGAGGGTCTTGCAATCGTTGGCTCGCGAAATCGTCGCTCTTAGTCGGCGTATATGTTGCGAGCTTGGAGGCGTGGAAAATCGGGTGAACCGTTAGATGCGGCGAAATGTTGATCACAAATGAGGGACCATCGGGGTCATCGCCCGCCGCTGATGTTATGGTCCAAGGTCCTAACCACTTGGGGAGTAACTTGCATGAAATATCTTGTTCAAGCGCAAATTCTTACATGGAGACCCAAACCAGGTCGTCGGCGCGGATAGGACATGGTACGCGACGCCGATTGGCTTGCTGCTGCATGCGGACTTGAGCCTTTTGCATATTTATGTGGGCTTGAGCCAACAAGTCTGAGTATTTCCGAACAGAGGCGGGAGAGCACGGGGCATCAATGTCGGCAGTCCATGGGAGGAGGAGATCAGGGAAGATACGGCCTTTCCAGCCACCGTGGTGCAACTCGAATGGAGTCACGCCGATCACCGGATGTAATGAAGTGTTGTAGGCGAACTCCATGTCGGGGAGGCGGTCAACCCAATCCTTCTGGTCCGGATGGATGAGCGTACAAAGCATCATTTGAGCGGTTTGATGTGCCCGCTCCGTTTGCCCGTCCGTTTATGGATGCCAAGCCGAACTCAGTTTCATTTTGGTGTCGGATTCCTGCATGAGAGAAGTCCAAAATGCCGACATGAATCGAGTGTCGCGGTCGCTAACGATGTCTTCCGGTACGCTACGGCTGCAAATCCAGCCGGTGTGTAGGAGGCGCGCAAGTTCGGGAGTCGTGGCGTAGTACTTGCAAGGGAGAAATCGTGCGTATTTACTCAAGTGGTCAACGACCGTGAGGATGCCGCCGTGCCCCAGGCGGTCACGAGGAACCGGGCCAATGACGTTCATAGCAATGGAGATGTCGGGTTCCCGTGGGATAGGTAACGGGCACAACTCGCCGTAGGGATTGAGGTTGTGGGGCTTGCTGCGTCGGCAAACTTCACAAGCGTCGCAATACGGAGTGACATCGGTGATGACGTCGGGCCACCGGAATCGTTGTCGAAGTCGTGCAATAGTCTGATTGACTCCGAAATGGTCGGCAAGTCGTGAGTCGTGGTACTCGCCGAGAAGGCGAGTCCGAAGATGATGGTCTTGTGGGACACACAATAAGTCCTTGCCTCACGAGTGGAGAAGCAAGTACCCGTCAATGATGCGATAATGGCTGGCCGGCGGATGATCCGAAGATAACTGCGCATAGAGTGTAGCGAAATCCGGATCAGACTGGTAGCCCCAAGTGAAATGTCATTGGAGTTCCTCGTCGAATGCGAAGGCATGATGCGTCATAGTGCAAAGATCGGGTCTTCGTGAGAGAGCATTTGCTGCGTGATTGGAGAGGCGGGTGTGAAGTCAAATTCGTCGATGAAGTACATCCATCGTCCGATAGTGCTTCTGACCGTATCTTGCGTCTTGTAGTAGGTCAATGGGTTGTTATCCGTGACCCATCTGAACCTACGACGCCCAAGGAGGAAGTGCCGCCATCGCTTGAAAGCCATCATGAACGCGAGCAGCTCATTCTTCCTTGCATCATCAAGTGAGTTGATGGGAGGCACCTTGTGGCTGAAGTACTCCACGAGGTGTCAGTCGTCGCCGTTGTATTGTTCCAAGACTGCCCCAATGCCATAGCCGGAAGCGTAAGTCGTCACTCTCGTTGGCAAGCTGGGGTCGTAGATGCTAAGGACGGGTGCCATGAGCATGGCCGTCTTGAGTGCTTGGAATGACCGCTGGCGTGCTTCATCGTCGAATACGAATGGCATCTTTGGCAATTGTAATCTCGCCAATGGTGCGGCAATCTTTTGAGTACCCGGTGATGAAGCGTTGATAGTAGCCTGCAAACCCCATGAATGAGCGAACGTTCGTGGTGTTGGTGGGCTCGGGCCATACACGGATGACGTCGATCTTGCCCGCGAACGGACGGATGCCTTGCGGCGTCACATAATGGCCCAAGTATTGGAGCTCCTGCCGCACGAATTCACATTTGTCGTGGTTGGCTTTGGACTTTACTTGCTGTAGCCGCTCCAAAACGGTGCGCAGGTGCTCCACATGCTTGTCCAAACTCCGGCTGTACACCAAAATATCGTCGAGGTAGATGGGTACAAATCTATCCAGCATGTGTCGGAACTCCACTGTTATAGTCGCTTGGAACGTGGTCGGGGCATTCGTAAGGCCAAAAGGCATAACCAGCCATTCGAAATGCCCATATCGCGACTTAAACGCGGTCTTGTAGCGATCCTCCTGCCGGATCTCGAGTTGGTGATATCCCTATTTGAGGTCAAGCTTGGAGAAGAACTTAGCGCCGCCCAACCGTTCGAGATGGTCGTTGATGCAAGGAAGAGGGTCATCGTTCTTGACGGTTTGCATGTTGAGCTTGCGATAATCAATGCACAACCACAAGTCCTTGTTCTTCTTCCGGATGAAGCAAACGGGCGCACCGTATGGCGAAGAGCTAGGTCGAATCAAACCTTTCTCAAGAAGGTCGTTGAGTTGTGCCCGTTGCACACTTTACTCTTCCTCGCTCATACGGTAGATGCAACACGCGGAGGTACGGCCCCGGCCTCGAGGATGATCTCGTGGCGGATGGGCCGATCCGGTACTACTTCGTGTGGGGCTTCGAACATGTAGCCGTAGGCGTTGAGATGCTCGGTGATGTGTGGGTCCGTCGATGTGTTCGTCGATGGGATGTCATAGGGTGGGAGGGAGTGGAGAAAGCACACACCCATCTCCTCGATGTCATCCCGGGTGATGGAAGCTCGAATGCTTGCGGCGGACACCACGTGACAACTGATCGAAGGGTAAGGTGGAGGCAGTGTGCATGGGACGAGTACTCCAGTCCGATCACGAATGTGAACAGTGCGGAGGTAGAAGTTCACCGGGTGATCCTCGTTTCACAGCCATGACATGCCCAAAATCATGTAGAACTGGGTGGCAAAAATGTTGAACGACACGGCCTCGCTTGCATGCGGGGCGAAGTACACGGGGACGGAATCAATGCACCGGTCGATTGACTTGTGCGTGTGACTGTCAGCCAACGTGACTTGAGTGGGCTGCGACTTCCTCCGAACGCGTGGCCCAAGGCCAACGTGTACCATAAAGTCTTAGCTCATATAGTGGCGAGTAGCTCCGCAATCGATCAACGCGCTGCAAGTCGCTTCTCCGATATGAATGCGTATGTACAACAATGGCGCGTCGTTGGTGTCGTACCGTTGTGTCTTGAACTCGCGGTTGATTTTCGCAACGTAGTCGTGAAGGTGAACAACCTCTACTCCGGCGTCCATCAACGGAGCTGGTGTTGTAGTGTGCAAGTAATCCCGCAATTGTGCCATGAGCACGTTGCCATGAGGTTTCGGCAATTGACCGATCGGGGGAAGGGGCATCCATTGGAAGTTCGCGAACGTCAATGGGTCGAGTCTCTCAAGTCTTGACCATGACGTCGAATCCCCGGCGAAAGTTGGCGGCAAAATTGTCGAATTAGTTGCCGATGGTGGTCAAACCGTGCATGCGGTGGATTGTTGCACGTGGAGTGGTTGGTCCAATGGTGGGACCAAGTGGACAGCGCAATCCTCGTAAGTGAACCGAGGGCTCGCGACATCCGCATTCTCCCCAGATGTGTAGGAGGCCGCTAGCAAGGCGGCCGAATCTGGTGGAGTGAGAGGTGGAGTCGCCTCACTTCCTGTGCAGCTCAGTTTCCTGAGCTGATTCGAGATCGAACATCCTCCATGCCTTAATCTTGGCATTGGGAGTGGTGCTATTACACCAATAGTCGTGGTCATATCGGTTGCGGGACTTGTATTCGGCCTCGGTTAAGTTGAACTTGACCCATGGTACTGGCTGTCCATTTCCGGCTGGCGATGCGGTTTTCACCTTCCCTTTTCCATGAGAGTTGTTGTTGCTTTGCGGCTGGACAGCGGCCTCCTGATCTCCCTCACGTGATGCTGGGGTGGTTGTCGGGTCTTCCACAATGTTGTCCGGTTGGACTGCAGCGACTTGCTGCCGACGCGGAGCAAATTTTCCTTTCTCCGCATGGGATGGCTGCCACGCTAACTTCTCGTGTCCAACAACCCGGTTGGTCTTGATGATCTCACGCACCTTGTCGATGATTTCGGCGAAGGTCGTGCACTGTTCTCGATCACCAAGTGCGAGGCTCAAGGCGGCACACGACCGGTTGTAGAACTCCCGGTGCAGATGCGAAAATGGCAAGTCAAGATCGGGTGTTGCCACGATCTTTTGCCATTCTGTGAGCCAGTCGCGTGTCGGTGTGTTACCCTGAGTCATGGTGAAGAGGCGGTTGATGACGAGCGTTGGGGCGTCGTCCACAATGAACCGCTTCTTCCATTTCTTCGTCATCTCGTCCCAGGAGATCTTTTTGTGCAGATCGGAGACCTAGACGCCGTGGATGGTTGCCATGAGGCTGAGCCAGATCTGGCATCCGCCCTTGGCGTTGAGGAACAACGCCGAGATGCACAAGTGATTGGGGACCTCATGAATCCCAATCTCCGTTGTAAAGCCTTGCCACCAGATGGCAGGGTCGTGATGTGTGTAGTCATCAAACTTCTCGATCCGGAACGTCGACATCTTGTACAGCCGTGATGCACTGGTGTTGCCATCGTTGTCGGGCAGCTGGTGCAGCTGCCTGGGCTCGGTCTTCAAGGTGCCGAGCTGCTCGTTGATGCTGGCTGGTGCAGCGAAGGTGCTGATGTCACCAACCATTGCGACTACATGGTCAACTCTTTGCTCCAACTGGCGGGTTGAGGCTGCACTGCTGGGTTCGCCAGCATCTGGTCTTGGTGCTGCTTGCTCCAAGTCCTGTACACAGGAATGGAGTGCCCGTGTAGCATCCTCGTGCAGATCCTTGTGGTTCCTCACTGCCCGTCGGAGATTCACCAGCTCGGACTGCAGGTGGATACAAGTGTAAACCAACCGGGTCACGAGTTTGGAGAGAAACTCCTTGTGCTGCTCTTCCGGTGTCGCGCCGTCATGGTCCTCGGTTGGTTCAAAATGCCAGAACTTGAGCCTGTCGACGCTGGTGGCTTCGTGCCGCTGCAGCAGATCCTGGGCCTCCTTGCGGCGGATCTGGGCCTCTGCGGCCTGAAGCCGCTGTTTTTCAGCTGTTGCCTCTGCTTCAGCCTGTAGGCGGGCAGCCTCGGCTGCCGCCTGGCGCTGTTCCTCAGCCTCGATCAGTGCGAGCTGAGCTTGGAACCGCTGTCGGTACTCGGCAAGGGACTCGTTGGCCAGTTGACCTGGCATGCCCAAAGCTGAAACCGTCATGGTGGCGGGGCACTGCTGATGTTGGTACTGCTGCTGTCGTGGCACTGCTAACGTGGCACTGCTGATGTGGCACTGCTCACATGGCACTGCTGATGTGGCACTGCTACTGCCATGGCACTGTTGACGTGGCACTTACCAAACCGGGAATGCAGACAAAGGGGTGGGTGGAAGGGAAACGCAGGAAGGTAACAAAACAACACTTTCCATTCCCGGTCCTAATCAACAGAATCAAATAAAAAATAAAAAAAATAAAAGAAGAGGATGATCCATGGTAACCGCCCGGACGTCCGTACCGGGTTCCAGACAGTCCGGTGTCCGGTGTCTAGTGTCCGGTGTCTGGACAACATGTCTGGATTGGGGCCTCTGGGGCAAAAATCAAAAAAAAAAATGGGGCGGCCCAGGACGTTTATCGGGTCCTGGCCGCCCCTAGAAAAATAATGGGTTGATTTTTCAATGTTGTTTCACCCCACCGGACAGGGCCTAGAGGTCCATACACAAGACACTGCAGGTTTTTGGGGTGGCGGGTTTCGCACAGGCCCGAGCAATTTCAAAGTGACCGTTTCGACGTGGAGCCAGCTGCTGCTGCCCGTTGGGGAGAGAGAGAGAGAGAGAGAGAGAGAGAGAGAGAGAGAGAGAGA